ATTGTATAGCTAAACAGTTATATTTATCAAATCCACTATTTACCATCTGCTACCCACTTTTTGCTATCCATCATCCGCTATCCGCTAACCGCTAATCACTATCCGTTACCTACTATCTGTTATCCACTAAATTTTAACCGCTATACTAAACAGACCCTTAATATAATTATAAAATTATCTATTAAAACTCAATTTCTTATAATTTAATTACATTATAATTTATAATATTTTAATAACAATAACAACTCTAAAAAACCTAAATTGAAAAAAATAGTAAATATTATCTATTTTAATAATTATATATCTTATAATATTTTTTAAATTTTAATTAATAATTAATAAAATTTACTATATTTCATCCATTATATTTTTTAAAAATAAATAACCAAATATCAAGATAACTTTCATGTACAGTTACAGTATAACACAATTTAACATAATCATAATCACAATTACGTCCATAGTACTTTACAACAATTTCAAATGCGTCCTTAAACTTACCCTTGCTACCAAGGACTCTGGGGATCCGAGATTGCCATTTTCTTCTAAGTTTCATTGCTTACTCCCCTTCTATTAATGGAGGTGTTAAAGAAAAATGATAGATAATAAAGCATGTTCGGTGAAACTTGTAAAAGTTTCAATTTTTTGATATTATTTATATTTCATAAATTTAAATTTTTTTTAAATGTACTTTTTTTTAATTTTAAAAAGATCTTAAATAGTAAATTTTGAAAAGTTTCAAATTTGTGCTTTTTTAAATACTTCTTTTTTATTCAATTCTTACTAATTTTTTTTTATTTTTAAAAGTAATTTTTAAAATTTTCTTCCAATAATAATTTAAATTTATAATTCATAAACAAGACAAAAAATAAAAATAAAAACTCTTACAAATTTCACCAAATATACTCTAAGGCCACAACTAAAGAAGCTTATCAATTACAACTGCCTTCGTTTACCCTTTTCCGTTTATAGAGATATTCAATTCTAGATCATTGATACTTTATCAACTCGGTAAAAAAAATAATATATACGATAACTTAAAAAGTTGACACTCAAATTTTAGAAATGGAGAGATTATCATGTCAAAAGTGATTTAATTTTTTTTTAAGAAATAACAAAAGAGGATAAGTAACACTCATAAAATCATAAAATATATATACTCTCATCCAAAAACTTTTATTTATTTACTATTTATTTTCTCGTAACAACTCCTTTGGTTGTATGAGAAAATTCAATATAGGGTTTGAACAAAAGAAAATCTAATAATAATGTTTAAGGTTTTATTAGCAGAAATAATATGCAATGACCTAAGAAAGTCGACGGTCAAAGATAAGATGCCCACAGGTTACATCAAACAGAGACTAGCTAAAGAATAAAAGAAAGAATGAAGGAAACCAAAAGTGATAAACTTTCCGAGTGAAAAAAACTCAAGCCTTCACTCTGTCGCATTCATTCTCCATCCAGCTTCAGATGCTTCAACCTTATAACATAACACAAATCAAAATTAGCAAAAAATCATTTAAAAAAATAAATTGCTTTGAAATGAAAAGTATAATATTTTGTTGTTCTGGTTATAAAACACCTATTGTTAGATGAAGAAAATCTTCTAATAACTATATTTTGCGATTTTACTTTGAATGAATCTATACTTAAATTTATCTATCAAACAAAATAATATATCATAAAAAAAGAGAAAGATAAGTTACCTTAACTCTTGGTTGGTAATGTTATCACAGCCGCTGCTTCTGCCACTCTTACTATTCTTCTTGTACTTAGGAATGGGTATTTTCCCTGATTCGATGAGAGTGATATCATGTAGAAGGACCTCATACATTCTCTTTACTTCCTCCTCATTTGTTCCAACAGCCTCCGCCACTTTCAGCCACCGGTCCGGCTCACCTTGGTCGTACCTCGCCAGTGCATTCTCGAACAATTTGTTCCGCTCCGGCGTCCAACTTGACGTGTCGGCGGAAGAGATTGCGCCAGATGCCATTTCGCTAGATCAAAGAAACCAACGGCAATTTCTAAAAAAACGTAAAAAACCTAAATTAAGAGAGCACACTGAATTCCAGAAACCAATGTACGATGAATAGGCAAGTAGGCACGAATTGGAATAATTAAGTGCATATATAAAACATGGTGAGATTAGTCAGTTGCTTATTTTTCAAGTCTACGACTCAGAATAGGTACGATGTTGTAATAAAGAATATGTTAGCATGTGGGATGAGATATGTTAAATAATTAACAGGGAAAAAGATGATCCTAATTGATACCTCCTTGATCTAATCTGATATGATCCGGTGATTTATTTGCACCTAAAATTGCATCATGGGTTTGAAAAAAAATTACCAAATGGAGACTACTCTGTTTTTCTTTTGGAACTCGACTCCTTCAAACGTGAAGAATAAGGAGAAGAAAAGTGTGAAAAAAAAAATGAAATGCATGGGATTAGTGTTGGAAAATACTGAGAAAATTTATAAGTGTGATTCCCAGCTTGGGCTTAGATGGATATAGATAATTATTATTTAAAATTTAGAAATATTGTATGGTTAATGTTTAGATTTTTATTTAATTTGAATTTTTGAATTAAAATGATTGTAAAATTATCGTTTTCGTGTGCCTGTTATCGTTACACAAATGTTGACTTTAAAAAAATATATATATTTTTTAAAACTGTTTTTCATGTAAAGTAATTAATGGACATAATAAATCTTACATTTAAGCTTAACCATAATTCCCTAGATATATCGGGGAATATTGCCCCTCCTAGATTAAGATGAAAGGATGAGTGGAAAGTAGAGGTCGCCCTACACTTTTTGAAAATTTTCAATGGTATGTTTAATTGACGTTTCTCTTAAAAAGTTGAAATCAAACTCTCTAATAAAATTGATGAGCTTTTTTTTTTTTTTTTTTTTTAAGGTTAAAACCTTATTTGAGTCCCTAAACTATTGTACGGACTCCTGATTTGATTCTTAAATTAAAAAAATCCTTGATTTGATTCCTATTGTTTATCATTGTAGAGCCGATTTGGTCCTTCCGTTAAATATCCTTCTATGTGTCCCGTTACTTGATGAGAAAAGAATGACATGTAAAAGCATTTTGACACCTAAGATGTATAGTGTGGCAAAAAAATGAGATGACAAGGAAAAACCTTAAAAAATTTCTTTTTCCTTTTTTTTTTTTCTTCCTTTGTTTTTCCTTTTTCCCTTTCTTCTTCCCCTTTTCTTTCACTTTTGCAAACCCAAACACCTTCTAATATTAAATCCAAGGATAACACAACAAATCAATAGATCGAACTCAATAGATCCTTCGACCTAAAGGCTACTGGGTTCAAAACAAAACCCAGTGCTTGCTGGGCTTGATCACCTACACCTGCAAGAATCCAAGGATAACACAACAGACAACAGACAGCAGATTGATAAACAGATCGAATTCAACAGATCCATCAACCCAGCGGTTGCTTGATTTAAAACAAAACCCAACGCCTGCTAGGTTTGATCACCTGTTGGGTTCGAACCTGCAAGGATCCAAGGATGACACAATAAACAATAGATTGATAAACAAATCAAACTCAACAAATCCATCAACTAAACAACTGCTGGGTTCAAAATGGAACCCAGCACTTGCAGGAATGGAACCTATCACTTGCAAGAACCCAACAGCTGTTGGGTTTGAAACAAAACCCAACATGTGTTGGGTTCAATTTCAAACCCAACAGGCGATCGAAGGCCTACTTGAACCCAGCAGCTGCTGGGTTCAAAATCGAACCCAACACATGTTGGGATTTGTTTCAAACCCAGCACGTGCAGGAACCCAACAGCACCCTTTCTTTCTCCTTCCACTTCCTTACTTTGCCTTCTTCATCAATCAATTCTTCATCATCATCAATCAACAAAATCCAAAAAAAAAAAAAAAAAAAAAAAAAGGGAAAAAACCTGCACAAGGTCAAGTTGGCACTGTGAAATCATTTGATTGCTTACATTTAAAATGGAAATAAATTGTAGATTTTGTTTAATTTGCATATTAATGCATCAAAATCCATTATGATAATAATGATAAGAGAAAAATATTAGTTGGAT